AATAGGCCATGCTACTAAGACAGGGAGTCAAAGCAGCTCTACCTCATACATAGAAACAAATACAGGGAGGCTGCCAAAATGAGGAGACAAAGAAACACGGTCAATATGAAAAATAAAACACTCCAGAAAAAGAAATAAACAAAATGGAGTTAAGCAGTTTATCAGATGCACAGTTCAAAACACTGGTTATCAGCATGTTCAAGGAACTCTTTGGGTACTTCAACAGCATAAAAAAGACCCAGGCAGAAATGAAGGTTCCAGTAAGTGAAATAAAGAAAAATCTACAGGGAATCAACTGTGGAGTGGATGAAGCTGAGAATCAAATCAACGATTTGGAACAAAAGGAAGAAAAAAGCATTCAATCAGAACAAGAAAGAAAAAATTCAAGAAGATGAGGATAGGCTAAAGAGCCTCTGGGACATCTTCAAAGGTACCAATATCTGAATCACAGGGATGCCCTAAGAAGAAGAGAAAGAGCAAGGAATTGAAAACTTATTTGAAAAAATAATGAAAGAAAACTTCCCTAATTTGGTGAAGGAAATAGAGAAGTCCAGTAAGCACAGAGTCCCAAACATATGGACACAAAGGAGGTCACACAAGGGCACATCATAATTAAAATGCCAAATGTTAAAGGTAAAGAGAGAATCTTAAAAGCAGAAAAAGGAGAATTACATACAAAGGAGTCCCATAAGACTGTCAGCTGATTTCTCAAAAGAAATCTGCAGGCTAGAAGAGACTAGCAAGAAGTATTCAAAGTGATGAAAATCAAGAACCTACAACCTAGATTACTCTATCCAGGAAAGCTATCATTTAGAATGGAAGGGCAGATAAATTGCTTCCCAGACAAGGTAAAGCTAAAGGAGTTTATCATCACCAAGCCATTATTATATGAAATATTAAAGGGAATTATATTAGAAAAAGATCAAAACCATGAACATTAAAATGACAATAAATTTGCAACTGTCAACAATTGAATCTAAAAAAACAAACTAAGCAAACAAGAACAGAAACAGAATCATAGGTATGGAGATCATTTGGAGGGTTATCAGTTGGGAGGGGAAAAGGGGAGAATGGAGGGGAAGATGCAGGGATTAAGAAGTACAAATTAGGGGGATGTTAAGAACGGTATAGGAAATGGTGTAGCTGAAGAATTTATATGCACGACCCTCAGACAAGAACTAAGGAAGGAATTGCTGGAGGGACTGGGGACACTGGGTGGAGGGTGGCAATGGGGGAAAAATTGGGACAACTGTTATAGCATAATCAATAAATTATATTTTAAATAACAAAAATAAAAACTGTTACAATTTGTTTTATGTCATAGTATACACTTTTTTTTTTTTTGAGCGTATGTTGTTAGTATATGGTTTATCTTATTGAATGTTTCATGTGTTCTTGAAATTTGTATTCTACTATTGTTGGGTGTTCTACAAATACAAATTATATTCATTTGGTATAGGAGCTATTCAGTTTTCTTTTATCCCTGCTGATTTCCTATTTAGTGTTCTGCCAATTGTTGAGAAAAGGATGTTGAATTGGTAACTATACTAGATTTGTCTATTTCTCCTTTTAGTTCTGTTTTTGTGTCACGAATGGTGATACCTTTGTTTTACGGACATAGGATTGTTATATTTTTGGTGGATAGAACCTTATCATGTAATGTCACTTTCTAACTTATATTCTTTGCTGTGAAGTCTACCTTTAATGTTTGGCTTCTTTCAGTTTAGCATGTTTTGAGGTTGATCTGTTTTGTAGTAATTAGTACTTCTTTCCTTTTCATAGTTGACTTTTATTTTATAAATACACCATATTTATCAATTCATCTGTTGATGGATATTTGGATTCTTTACATCTTTTCTGGATATTGTGAATAGTGCTGCCATGACATTCATTTACAAGTTTATGTCTTTTTCAAATTTTAGGGTATGTGTATAGCAGAATTGCTGCAATGTCAGGCCAAGTAGTTTCTTATTTTATTAATTACAAAGGAGGACCCAAAAACCCCACAATTTATTAACATTAATTTAAAACATTGTGTATTTATTCTCATGTTTAACCTTCAGTCACTTTCAAAGTACTCTCCATGTACTGCAATACACCTATCAAGATATTTTTTCCACTGCCCAAAACACTTTTTGAGCTCATTTTTTATGCCTTTTAGTGTTTATGAAGTTTTTTGTTTCATCTCTTCCCCATCAGCAAAACGTTTCCTTTTCAGGACTTTTTTTCATCCAGGGAAACAAAAAGGTTGCTTGGGGCAAGATCAGGTGAATACACAGGGTAGGGCAGGGGGTCATAACATATTTGGTAAAACATTACTGAAAACTCATTGCAGCATGGGCAGGTGCGCTCCTAAGTCACCCATTGTGAAATGGGCAAATGTTTTGCAAGTCTTCCAAAAATGTTCACTTAAGTAGAACATAGCCTCTCACACCACCACCAGGTGGTACATTGATACAGATGGGTTCCTAGAACACTCACCTAGCGAGGGAATAATGTACTACAAGGGGCCTGCCCTCTGGAAGATAATCTTTGGGTTCCCCCTCATATAAGGTAGCCCTGTTTCTGTTCAAAATAGGAGGATTTGTTACTAATATAGCAGAATGTAGGAAATGGTCCTGAGTAGCCACATGCAATATCTTTACAAATGGCAATTTAGAATATGAAGATATTTAAACTCAGTAGGAAAGGGGTGAGTTACATCAAACAGTATATTGAGCACTGCCTACTAATCCAGAAGAAAAAAATTATAGGTTCTAATACCAAATCACATCAAATGAAGCATTGGATATACAGACATTTACTTTGAATCCAGTGTATGATGGTGGGTGCTTTGCTGTCAGTATGGCAACTGACCCAGGTAGCAATGCTGGCAATCGGGGTGGTGAAGGCTTGATCAACAACTAGATTCCAGTCAGTTGTGTCACAAAACAGTCTCTTAACATGAGCATCTAGTCAAACCACGAAGATGATGTACTCAGCAGCTGTAACTTTCCCCATAGTTCACAGCACCAGAGGGGCTGCTTTTGTCATTCTGTATTGTTACAACTGGCATGTCAAACAGACACAACAAGGGCCCAAGACTAAATAAAAACACACCAAGTTTTATCAAAGGGAATATTGGCTAGAGTTGAGAACACATCATGTTTTGAGTCTGCATAATGGCAGAGGCTGAAGAATTGTAGGATCTGAGTGATTCAACTAATCAAACCATCAGTGAAACAAGGCCTTCTTAGAGTAACCTCTATGGATTTAGGGCCCTACTGAACCAGCAGCTTTGCTCCAGGCAGCAAGGTGGGGATAAATCTCTCTGAGGGATAGCTACTATTTCATACACAGCTGATACTGCTGGGTCTAGGACACCTGTATTCATGAACACGCCATGTGCATTTCACATGAGAGTTAAGTCCTTTCCATCTTGTTAGTAATCCTAAGATGACACACTCCCAGATCAAGTCAGAGACCTCTGCGAATCAGGTAACCAGTGTAAAAGAGCTCAAGAGTAAGCTAATAGCTGCTTACAAATAGTGTATATTTGGTAGCCTTGTCAGGGCATCAAGTCAAACTACCCCCACACTCCCATGGGCGCATCCTTTTGTCAAAAAAAGTTTTGAATCAACAGAATCAGTCAGACTTGAAGCTCAAAATGTTCATTAAGGGCTGTGAGACCTCAAAAATATCTTCTTTACTTCCTGACTGGGAGAATTTTGTGACTTATGAGAATGGGGAGTACAGCATTAATTTCTACTGTACTTCCAGATGTACAAGTAACCACAGTATATTGCACTGGTGCAAATGGCCCCATTTATTGATAAAGTTACACTCATTTCCCTTCCCTACTGTAAACCCTAACCTAGTCACATTATCTATAGCTAGGTACCCCCTACCTCCATGCGAACTGGTAATATGTTGACGTGGGTATTTGTATCGTACAGAACCATAAGAACCTGAGTTCTTCCCCTCCCTGAAAGTTCCCAGAATACTTGGGTGTGAGCCAAAGGCCTTGGGTCCCCTTTGGAGACAGGAAAACCTCTTTCCCCTTAAAACAGCTGAGGTTGGGGTATATGAAAGTGTCAGGAGGTATGGAGAGTAGCTTCATGACATTAAACAAGCCACATTTACTTTAGTTGCATGATAGCTGCTCACCCGATTTAAATTCATCCGATTTAAAAACAAAAACAAAAAAAAAAACTTCCAACTTTTTTGGTTCATCTAAGGCCCAATGTCAGGTGGTATGATCTGCTTCATTATATTGAAAGGATGCCTTTTGTATGAATTCTCTGATGGTCTCTGAGGGACTGACTCCCTGACATAAACTTATAACATTTGTACCCTGTGGCTGATGTAAGCTTAACTTACACGGTAGTATTCTGCCTCTCTAGCAGTGGGATGGCTAAATTATGTACAAAAACAGACCCCAAACATATGAGAGCTCAACAGAACACAAGCTTAAGTCTTGCTCACAACATGTTCAAATGAAAAGATATGCAAGAGAATTTTGTTCCACATTTTTCAGGCACCCTGGCTTTTGTCTTGGGCTGTGCCATGTTAAACCATGGCACCCAAGGTTGTCCTGGAAGTCCTCTCCATTTAACCCATATAGCAGTCTGGTAGTTTGTTGGGGAAGTCTTGTCAGACCTAGATGTGGCATACAACATGAGCATCCATATTCCATTAGCCAGCCACAAAGTCCCACTTAGATGAAAGAGAGACTGGGAAATTTATATTAGCTATATGCCTAGAGGAAAAATTGCTAGTAAACAGATTACCAGCCCATGTGATGTGTGAGAGTTATCTAATAGGGCACGACTTCATTCAAAAGGGCTTTCCACAGTAGCTTAAAAGAAATAGATGCCTATGTGAATTCTCTGAATACTCTCTGGGTTACCTTTTGGACAAAATTCTTCCTGCATTCATATTTATATGGTTTTTCTCCTGTTTGAATTCTGATGTCAAATGGATCGGTCTTTTAGCCACAAGGATTTTTCATAGTTATTTTATCAATAGGGTTTTCTCCCTCCCTGAATTCTCTGGGATACATTTAGGATTGACTTTTTATACAATTTTCCATATTCATTACACTCATAAGATTTCTCCCCACTATGAGTTCTCTGATGTACTCTGAGGTTTGATTTCTGGCCAAAAGTTTTCCCACATTTATTACACATAAAGGGTTTCTCCCCTGTGTGAATTCTTTGATGATCACTAAGGATTGCCTTCCGGACAAATTTTTTCCCACATTCATTACATTTAAATGGTTTCTCCCCAGTGTGAATTCTCTGATGAACTCTGAGAGTTGATGTCCTGGCAAAAGTTTTCTCACATTCATTACATTTAAATGGTTTCTCTCCTGTGTGCGTCTTCTGATGTTGAATGAGATGGTCTTTTCGCCAGAAGGATTTTTCACATTCATTACATTGATAGGTTTTCTCACCACCATGAGTTCTCAGATGTATTCTGAGGTTTGATTTCTGGCCAAAAGTTTTCCCACATTCATTACACTGAAATGATTTCTCCCCTGTGTGAATTCTATGATGGTCTCTAAGGGTTGACTTTTGAACAAAAGTCTTCCCACACTCACTACATTCATAGGGCTTCTCTCCTGTATGAATTCTCTGATGTCCCCTGAGGGTTGATTTCTGGACAAATGTTTTCCCACATTCTTTACACTTATAGGGTTTCTCTGCTGTGTGAATTCTCTGATGTGTGCTGAGATGTGACTTCTGGGAGAAAGTTTTTCCACATTCATTACATTCAAAAGGTTTCTCTCCTGTGTGGGTTCTCTGATGTTGAATGAGATGTCCTTTTTGGCAGAAGGATTTCCCACATTCATTACATTTATAGGGTTTTACCTGAGAATGAGTTCTCTGGCGTACCTTGTGGGCTGATATCCTATTTTCACGGTATTCAAAGGATTTATCCCCAGTTTGTTTTTTGTCATTATAAACCAATGCGTTCCCTTCTGTGATAGTTCTCTGAGGCTCAGTGAGATAAGACTTCCTGTTGAAATTATTCCTACTGGCATTACATTCATAGTGTTTCACAGCCATACTAAATGTATTGTATTCCTGGACAGCTGACTTCTTACAGGAGGATTTCCCACACTGCTTAACATGAGAATGTTTCTCTCCTGTCACAGTTCTTTTTAGGTCAAAGAGACTTATCTTTTCACAGTTTTTCCTAAACTCATCATCTTTACAGGATTTTCCTCCTGTGTCAGTACTCTTATCTGTAACATAGGCAGCAGCATCATAGAATTTTTCAGTTTCATTGTATTCAAGATCTTGCTCCAAAATTTGGCACTTTTGATGTCCAGGATGATTTTCCTTATAACTGAGGGCTTTCCCGTTTTTGTTACATTGATCAAATTTCTCTCCAGCATGAGTTCTCTCAAAGTTAATTTTGAAAGGCAAATTTTCACAGACATTACAGCAATCTGTTTTTTTTGTTGAATAGGTTCTATTAATGATAAAGGGAGAAATATTATGCAAATTCACTCCCCATGAGTCATATTTATAGGTCATTTTCATTAAAGAAAGAGGAGTTATGTACAGATTAACTGATTTTCCAAAAATTTCCTCTTCCTCTCTAGTCAAAGGTTTATTATTGATCAATGTTACTTGCTGCAAGTGTTTGTCTTTGATTCTCTTCTTCCTCTTGATCAGGTCATCATCTCTGTAATGTTCTAAAAATGGGAAAAATTTAAAGCATCTTATGAATCTTACATTTTTTTATGAATGGGACTTATGAAAATATACCTTATGTTGCATTTCAGTTTTTGGTTTTTCAAGATTAAATAATTTGCATGTGAGTATATGTATATTCATTCTCTTTCAAAAATATTTATAGTGAAAAAATGAGAGGGAAAACTGGTAATAAATACATATCTGTATTTGGATTGTGACAGATTGGATTTTCCTACTTGGATGTAAAAGGGAAAGAAAAGGAAAACAGAAATTAGACTTTTATAGGAGTGGTTTTAGGAGCAGGAAAACCACATCATGGAATGAATACAACAAGGACTATAAAGTTAAGTAGAGTAATAAGAAAAATTAGAAGATAATGAGCATTGATAGGCCAGACCCATCATGGAAAGGGTTTGGTTTGAGGAAATAAATTACAGTATCGGTCCTACATCATGTGGGCTATACCAATAAATACTCAAGAGTCTACATACTACCTATGTGATATCATCCCTTATCGCCATTCAGTCTTTCAACATCAAATCAAATTGATAGAGCACTAACTGCCTCATGATTAAATAAAGTTTAGGGTTTAACCCACCTTAAAGCTGTGAGTCCGTATGGTAATAAAAGCAAGTGTAAAACTGATGAAAGGAAAATCCATTCTTGCAATTAAATTAGATTCACTGGTACCTTTGATTTATTCTTTCAAAATTGAACAATAAGTGACATTGATCACCTACTTCATCCTAAATTTCCACATTTCAATTTTATCTGAATGGTGCAGTTTTTAATGGAGTATCATGGAGAGCCTTAATGCAAAGATGACACTTTAGGAAAGTCCAAACCTTGACTGGGTGGTTCAGCTGGTTAGCATGTTGTCCAATACACCAAAAGGTTGCAGGTTCGATCCCCTCTCAGGGTGCATACAAGAAGGAAACTGATCAGTGTTTCTCTCTCACACTGATGTGTCTCTTCTCTCTCTTTCCCCAACCCTTACTCTCTGTAAAAATCATAAAAACATATCTTCAAGTGAGAATTTTTTTTAAAAAGGTCCGAATTCTTTATTTATTCTAGATGCCCGTTGGCTACAGGATATCTGACTTGTGAATAGCATCTACTTTTGACTCATATTTTAACTATCCACTAAGCGTGAAACACAATTTATATTTGCATTAAAGTTATATGTATTATATAACAGTATACAGAGAACAGTCATGGAATTAGAAACCATGTCAAAAATTAGAACACAAATGGCTTGGCAAAAAAATACCTATTAGACCCTCCCTGCTTAGTTTCTTCATGCTTATGAGATCATCATTCTCCTAATGTTTATGTAATAATTTCCTGTAATCTTTAGTTTTAGCACCAATATATGACTTCTTAAAAGTGTAACAGTTTTGCCTTTTTCTGACACATACGTAATCATACATATATATTTATATTTTTTGGTTCTTTCACTTAATATTATGTTTATAAACACTGTATAAGATTTTATGAAGCTTTAAAATTCTCCCTTAGGAATGCAAGTATTTCTTTATTCTACTGCTGATGAGTCTAATTTTTGGCAAAAACAAACAATATTGCAATAAATACTCTTTTATTCATTCTAGAAAATACAGCCATGTCTTTCTGTAGGAAATACAGTTAGGAAAGTGGTTATTTGGTGACAAAGTAGATAAAACTTCAACTCAGTTTGATAACATCCTCCTAATTCCACAGCAGTTTTACAAGTTTACATTTTCTGTCAGTGAATGAGGATCTTTAATATTTCACATCCTCATCAGGACCTGGCATTACTAGGTTTGTTAATCTTAGCACATATCATTCATCTCTCTTATCTTACCTAATATATTTTTTTCACTCTATGAAAACTAGTAAGATTAAATATATTTTCAAAGAGATAATGGTCATTTCAGAGTTCCTCTTTAAAGTCTTTAGCCTGTTTTTCAATTGAGTTACTACCTTTTCCTGTACTGACCTGCAAAAATACTTACATTTTCAGGATGCTTATCCTTCTCAGGTTCCTTGTACAATATGTACAATATGTATTGTACATATTCGGATACTCTGTGGCTAGTTTTTTCATCCTTTTACTGGTATCTTTTTATGAACAAAGTTCTCAACTTTAGTCAAGTTTATTAAACATTTCTTATTTTTTTTAATCCTTACCCAAGGATATGCTTATTGATTTTAGATAGAGAGGAAGGAGGTGGGGGGAGAGAGAGAGACAGAGAAACATCATTGTGAAAAACAATTATCAGTTGCCTCCTATACATGCCCCAAACAATATTGCCATAAATATTCTTTTTGGTGTACAGGACAAGGCTCCAACCAACTGAGCCACTCAGCCAGGGCAATCATTTCCTTTTCATTGATGTTTTTTATGCCTTTGTGACTTTTTTAAAGGTTTTATTTATTTATTTATTTTTAGAGAGAGGCTTAAGAAAAGTCTTGAAATATGTAGGTAGGGTTCACTGCTAAACTGAGCTTCTGGAGTCTAGCTACCCACAGAATTCTGTCTGCCAGTGCTCAATAACTCACTGTGGTAACTCTGGTCTGAGAATTCTTCCTCTAAGAAACAAGGCTCTTCTCCTTGTTCCAACTTGAAGATGACCTCTGGTTTGGAAGTGCAGTTTCCTATAAATAGGGAACAATGGAGTACTTAGGCCAGATGATAAGATTTTGAGTATCCAAAAATTTAAAACAATACAGCTTCAGCAAGAGCAACCTTAAGTTTCTCATTTGAATTTATCATTGGAAGTTAACAATATATTCTTCAACAGAGCTAACTTTATACTCCTGAATTAAAAGCCTAAATAACATTAAAATCTAGGTAAAGTCTTCATGTGTACTAGTGCATAAAAAAGAAATGCCTTCTACATAGCATTACAAAGGTAACTTATGCTCATATGCTCACCCACTGAGACTAGGTTGCTGTAGTTCTCCAGCATCACATCTCTATACAGGGTCCTTTGAATAGGACCCATTTGCTGCCACTCCTCCTGGGTGAACTCCACAGTCACGTCCTTGAATGACACTGATGCCTACAATAGTACATTTCTGTTCAATTTGAAGGGTTCAGAATTAGGTGGCACAGAAAAAATACATATGAGAACAATTCTTATGTCTACTGTAAAGAGTTTAACAATAAATGAAAATAAGTATGCTTATTTTGGATCTAATTTTATACTTTGCAGTTAATTAATAAAAGTGTTTATAATTTCATTTGTATATATTTTTTAGTTATATATATGTAAAATCAATTAGAACATTAGTAAAGATTTTGTTGCTTGAATTTTTTTTTACTGAAAAAGTACATATGCACTTCCTACAATTTTTTTCCTACACCCCAATATACAACCTTAGGCGTATACATTCTAGGCTAAGGATCAGCAAATTATGACTTGTGGCCAAACCCAGCATGCCACTTTTTAAATTAAGTTTTACTGGGACACAGTCAGAAACACCCAATCATTTTATATTATCTACAGTTGCTTTTGATCTGAAACAACAGAGCCTAGTAGTTCCATAAGAGACCTTATAACTGTCAAAGAAAAATATGAACTATCTGATCCATTATAGGACAAACTTGCCAATTTTTGGACTAATCAATCTGGTTAAAGAAAAGATTGACAGTATAAAAACAACAACAAAAAAATCCCACAATTTATAGAGAGGGATATATACAGATTGAAAGTAAGAGGGTTAAAAAAGATACATAAGTAATTGCTAACCAAAAGAAAATTGATGTGGTTATTATTAACATGAGAAGCAGAGATTTAAAGGTAAGAAAGAATGCTAAAAACATAATGAATAACAATATAATGATAAGATCATCCTTTAACAGAAGATATAACAAACATAAATTGGTATAAGCTTGAAAACATAGCTTCCAAATATAGTCAATCCTTATTATTGAGAGATTTCAGAGATTCTGTATTTGCAAATTCACCTATACACTAAAACTTACTTGTAACCTCAAAATCAATATTCATGATTTTGTGGTCATTACCAAAATTCACAGAGTGGTAAAAAATTTGAGTATCCAATACACGTTTTCCCAGCTGAGGTTGTACAAGATAATGCTTGTGTTTGTGTAAACAAGTGTCTTTTTACAATCTGTTTAGCACACCTTTTGCATTTTTATGCTCTTTCTTGTGACTTCATTTTTTAAGGTTCCTGAGTACAAGAAGGTTGCGCCATGTCTTATAGAGAAAATTAGGGTGTCAGATAAGCTTTGTTCAAGCATTCATTGTGGTGCTGTTGGCTGTTAGATCATGAATTAATAATAATCAAGTAAGGAGGTTTTAAACAAAAACACATACAAAACAAGGTTATCTACTGATTGGTTGTCCAAAATGTGACCAGAGGCTTGCAGGAACCTAACCCTATATTTCCCCCAGGAGCAAGGCTTAAGTATTTGCTTATTCAGCGTTCATGGTAACTTAGAACATAACTGCTGAGAATAATGAGAATTGACTGTTTATAAATAAAAATTAACAAAAATTAGGTAGATAGATCCACTGTTATAATTAGTGATTTTAACACAACTTTCTCAGTAAGTGATGGGACAAGCAGTCTGGGGGAAAAAACAGGTGGGGAGAGGTTTAGAACAAGGGTCAGCAGACTATATAGCCCAGAGGCCAAATCTGGCTCACTACCAGTACTTTTATAAGCAACATTTATTGGAACACATCCATATTCATTTGTTTATGTATCATTTATGGCTACTATAGCACTAAAAGTGTAGACTTTGGTGGTTCCAACAAAGCCTGTTATTTGACATTTACATAAAAAGTTTGCTGACCACTGATACAGAAAATTTAAAAGACATGATTAACCAATTTGACCAAATGAAATATATAGGATAACCTAATCATAACATCAACTATTTTTGTGCACTTTGCATACTAAAATACAAAAACTAAGTCTCACAAAATTTGAAAACAATTACATACAGTGTGGTTTTGAATTTTTGCTCAGAGATACAGAGAGCTAAAAGAGCAATGCATCCATGCACCACTTAACAATCAGGATATGTTCTAAGAAATGCTTTGTTAGATGATTTCATCACTGTATGAACATCATAGAGTGTATGTATATAAGCCTCAGTGGTACAGCCTACTACACACCAAGGCTATATGGTATACTAACATCATATATGCAGTCTGTCATTGACCAAAATATTATTATGTGGCACATAACTGCAGTAATGTCCTTACAACAAGAAAAAAGCTGGGCAAGTTGAAAATGTTTATAAATGCTAAAGAATCTACAAAAATTATTAGAGCTAACAAACAAATTTAGCACACTTTGAGGATTCAAGATGAATACACAAAAGCCATTTGTATGTCTGTACACTAACAATAAAAATTTTACGAAAACAATTGCATGTGTAGTAAAATAGAAAATAATAAAATACTTAGGCATAAATTTAACCAAGAAGGTGTGATTCATACATTCAACACTAAAAGACATTGTTAAAAGGATTTAAAGACGACGTAAATAAGTGGAAAGATGTCTGTGTTCATAGATTGGAAGATTTAATATTGTTATGAAAGTAATATACCCCAAAGTAAATCTGTATCAAAATCCCAATGGTCTTTATTGCAGAAATGTCAATCCTATCATTCATATGAAGTCACAAGGGACCCTGAATAGCCAAAACAATCTTAAAAGTAACAAAGTTTGAGGACTTACACTTCCTGATTTCAAAACTTAACTATAAAGCAACGTAATCAAGACAGTGTGGTACTCGTGCAGAGACCGATATATAGACCCACAGAACAGAACCAAGAGTCTAGAAATAAACTAATGATCATTTAGTAGAAAAAGAATAGTCTTTTCACCTTGGCCAGCGTGGCTCAGTTGGTTGGGCATCATCCCACAAAGCGAAGAACTTCCAGTTCGATCTCTGGTGAGGGAACATTCCAGGGTTGCGAGTTTGGTCCCTGGTTGGGACATATACCAGAGGCAACCAATCAATGTTTCTCTCTCACATTGATGTGTCTCTCCCTCCTTGCTCCCTCCTTTCCCCTTGCTCTAAAAATAAATAAATAAAATATATCCAAAAATTGTCTTTTCAGCAAATGATGCTGAGAAAAATGGATACCTACGTGCAAAAGAATGAAGTTGAACTCCTACCTCATACCATGTTCAAATATTTATCTCAAAATGAATCAAAGACCTAAACATAAGTTTAAGGTATGAAACTCTTGGAAGAAATGGGAGATAAACCTTCATGACCTTGGATTTGGCAATGTTTTCCTAGATACTACATCAAATGCACAAGAAACCAAAGAAAAAAATAAACTGGACTTAAAATTAAAAACTGCGCATCAAAGGACATTATCAAGATAGTGAAAAGACAAGGGGGAGGAAATATTCATGAATCAGAACTCCAGACTTAAAATGGTTTGACTTACAATTTTTTTACCTTTTAATGCTGTGAAAGTGATACATGATGATGATAAATTATATGAGCTATTCAACACTTTATTATAAAATAGGTTTTGTGTTAGGTGATCTTCCCCATTTTGACTAATGTAAGCTCTGGGCATGTTTAAGGTAGGCTAGGTTTTGCTATGACCTTCCATAGGTTAGGTATATTAAATGCATATTTTACTTATATTTTCAACTTAATGATGGGTTTATCAGGACATAGTTACATCAAGGAGTATCTGTATCTAAGAAATGTCTAGTAGCCAGAATATATAAAGAACTCTTACAACTGAATAACCAAAAAAAAAAAAAAACACCTAATTAAAAAGTGGGCAACACACCTGAATAGACTTTTCGTCAAAGAAGATACACGAATAGCGAGTAAGCACATGAAAAGATGTTCAATGTTATTGTCAGGGAAATACACATCAAAACCCAAAACAATGAGCTACAACTCCACTCCGGAAGACAGTTATAATTTTTCTTTTAAAAAAGGTTGAATAAAAAATGATGGAGACAATCTTTAGAACCCTAACACATTGCTAGTGGGAATGTGAAATGGTATAGTTGTTGTGGTGATAGTTTTGCAGTTTCTGAATAAGATAAATGTAATATTACCATATAACCCAACAATTCCAGTCCTAAATTTATTCCTCGAAGAAATGAAAAACAGGTGCTCACACACTTGTGTGTATCTACCCATATATGTATGTATGTATGTATGTATGTATATACCATCTATCACCTATTTATTGGATGTTAATAGCAGCACTATTCATAACAACAATAAGTTAGAAAAAAACCTATGTCCAGCAGTTGATGAATAGATAAACAAAATGTGGCATATCCACATAATGAAACCTTGAAAACATTATGCTAAGTGAAAGAAACAATCACAAAGATCACAGATTACACAATTTCACTTATTTGAAATGTCCAGACTAGGCAAATCTATAGAGACAAAATGTAGATCATTTGTTGCTTAGGGCTGGGGTAGGGATATGTTAGGATTGGGTATGTTTAATAGTTGTTGGTATGGAGTTTTTCTGATGTGATGAAGATAATCTAAAATTGATTGTGGTGATGATTGCATAATAGTGAATATACTAAAGACCACTGACTACTTTAAACGTGTGATTTGTAAGGTGTGTGATTTTTATCTCCATAAACTTGTTTTTAAAAAGGACACCAGAAAAATAGGCGTTTTCAGATTTTTTTGTGTCTATTACAGAAATTGAATTCATAATTAAAAACCAGCCACAAAGAAACTCCAAGGCCAAGTTGTTGTTATTGTGTATATTTTTCAAACACATAAGGAAGAAATAACAGTAATCTTAAACTCTTTCATAAAACAGAAAATGGAGAACCATTTTATGAGAACATAACATTGATGCCAAAACCTGACCAACACATTCCATGAAAAGAAAAGTTCATGCCAATTGCCTCTCCATTAAAGTATACCAAAAAACTCTAAGCAAAATACTAATAAACTGAATTCAGAGGCATATTAAAGAAGTAATACTTCATGACCAGGTGGGAATTAGCTCAAAAATGCAAGACTGAACACTGATAAATGAATCAATATAATTCACCCCTTTCACAC